AATATAAAAACCTTTATACATATATTATAGATCAGGACTTTTTTATAGAAATATTGCCTAAAGGTCTTAACTATACCTAGCTCTATCAGAGCAGGCCACTTTAATTGGCTACTATCAAAGCTTTAGACCATGGCCAGAATTCACATTTTAGTGTTTCCAGTGATAAGACAATTAGATATATCTACATGAATTATATTTCAAACAACATTTTAATACTCTACATAAATTATTTACATTCTAAAACAGGAAATGAGAACAATTATTTTTATTATTCATTTTACTAAATATAATATGTATAAACATGTGATGATAAAATTCATAAATTAATTGTGCCTATGCTTAATGAAATTTCTTCCAGTTCTACTAAACTTATTCTAGAATTATTTTAAAGAATAAAAACATACATCACAGTTAATAAATGCAAAAACAAAATGTGGTTGAAGACAATAAATACTCTAAGAATAGGTTTTGCAATGATATAAAATTAAAACATTGAAAATGGTACATATTTTACATCTTTTAATAGAAAGTAAAGTAAAGCAAATCAATCACAGATATGTTAAAAAATAGTCATGATTTTGAAATCCTTTCATTCATTCATTTTACTAAAATTTAGATTCTTCCCATGAATATCACCTGAGTCAAAAACATTAAATAAATACAATCATTCTTGACTCAAACACATTACTTCACAGTTATTATCACAATTCAAAGCTAAAAAGCCACTTTTGTTACATATCATTTAACTTTGTAAAATATATAACTACTAGAAATGTAGTTCCTTACAGCTTTCACCAAGGTATTTACAATAATAAATATCAACCATACACAGAACTAAAACACAAAAATAACTGCATAAAATAATATTTCAACAATACTGAAATTTATAATACTGATTTCATAAATGCCAAAAAAGCAAAAGACTAAAAAACAGTCAGGTTTTAATTAAAGATCTAAAAATGTCAAACGAGATTTAATACAGTTTCAACATAAAATGAGATAAACAGGGTTGACTGAAATAATTCTCCAATCCAGATTTGTTTACATGTTATTTTACTAGAAAATTGCACTTTTGCTTTTTGCAGCCTCTTCTAATGACATCGTAACATAGCTCTACACATAACTCTTATATAGTTTTGCACACACTCTAATAATATATTCATATTTATTATAAAACTATAATTAATGAGTAATCTGAAATGCAGCCAAAGTTAAAATAAGATGCACAGCATATAAAATGTATAACTTATTTCAAACAAAATACTAATATCTTATTTTCTCTATTAATTTAGATAAGGAATTACACTGATCTCTCCTTTAAACTAATTCTACTCACTTCCTTTACACTGTACTTCACCTGCTATTCACATGATGAAATTTTGAAATAAATAATTATTTTTTGTCAGTAATTTGGGAAGATTTAACAATGGTATACCTAATAAATAGTAGATTCTGTAAAGATTTAAAAGAAAATTATGATTAAAAATTTTTTAAAAGAAATCAACTGAAAGTTTCTTAAATGAATTTTCTTGCAGAAATCTAATAAGTTAATGTTAGCACATGTGTTACATATAATATTACTTGTGAAAACTTTACTTTCAATGATTTGTAAAAACAGCTAAATGCATATAAAAGTAAATGAATAAATGTAAAGCAAAAATAAAATAATGCTTACAACATACTACAATACTTAAATACTACAAAATGCATATCAAATACTTTTCATTTTATGCAGACCTAAAAAACATCCAATATAAAATTTATTTCTACATTGATTAAAAAATTTTTTTTATGATTTAGACTAACAATTTGTGAAGAGAGAGAAAAAAAAAAAATTAGAGAAACAGTTATGTTTACTTTACTATCAAAAAAACTATATGCATATTTTTTACAGATTCTTGAGATGCTTTCATAAATTACTTTGCATAACATTAATATTTGATAATTATTAACATGAATACCAAATTACAGTAGATTTACAGATAATATAAATTTAAAAGTGTAAATTTTGAATAACAGAATTTAAGCAATTAAGGATAATTAAGGGTATATTCTACTTATAAAACTTATTACTAAAACAAATTTAGGTACTTTTCAGTTAATGGAGCACCAGTCGCCAGGTATGATAGCCTATTTATATCATGTCACTGCCCAGTTAGTATAGCAGCTAGTTACCTTGATTATTGTAGCGATGGGCCGAGGTTCGAATCCCGGCGAAGGCATGGTAGTAACTGCGCGTCCCTTCAATAGGAGGCAATTTTGAACACTTAATTGGGTGCTTCCATAATGAAATGGCCACCAAATCTGGCCCTTGTAGTGGTGCAAGGCTAATGGCCATTAATATGTATATATTTATATATATATATGTAATAATAAAATTCCATAGTGAAGAATACACTTAAAATTCTAACTGTTTTTTTCATTTTTAATGGCGACGGTCTATTATTTGAAAGCACATGGAATTAAATCCACAGCCTTGTAGTCAAGTTGTTTTTCCCGCCTTTTCTACACGTACAGTTATAGAATGTTCTGGAAATATTTAAAGGGAACTGGAATGGTTGATGAGGCTGGCGTCATTTCTTGGAAACTCCGCCTTTCCAGAGGCTATAAAAGGACTCGCAAAGGAATATCGGGGGCTTTTCTTTAATGTAACGATGCAGTAAACTTCATAAGAAAGTTATTAGTAATTCTTTTTATTTACTCCGTATATCTGATTTTGTAAATGCTATTGCTCCTGAATAATAATAAATGGATCCTGTTTTTTAAACTTATCGTCTGATAATTTAAGCTACGATTACATTTATGATTCTTCACCAATCTATTTATTCTGGACAAAAGCTGGTACATCACATGTATATATATATATAGAGAGAGAGAGAGAGAGAGAGAGATAAATACATAGAGGCAAAAATTAAAAAAAAAAAAAAAAAAATTAAACCTATCCTGTACTATAGTTGCAGGATTGAAGTAAAATAAACTTAAAACATCTACAGTTAAAAGTAAATTGGAGTCAAAGCAAGGCAATTCCTCAACAATATTAATAATTGCATTCTTGTAATCCGGTAAAACATAAAATCTAAACAATTCAAAATAAAAATGATCACAGTAATACAAACTCGAAAACTAAAAATGCAAAAGGGAAAAATATATACAAGATAATAAAAATATAAAATCTCCCTTTATTGAAACTCCAATTCAGAACTCATCAGGCGAAAATGACTTAAAGCTTCATAGAAGTTGATTAATATGTTTCGTTCTCTCGGTAAATTTGAGATCAAAAACCGGAAAAAAAAAAAAAAAGAAACAAATTTACATTACATAAAAACTCTTATAAAATCATAAAAAGTGAATCTCAAATGTACCAGGACCCCTTTACAAAGATGCAATTATTAATATTGTTGAGGAATTGCTGTGCTTTGACTCCAATTTACTTTTTAATTTTAGAGAGATAGATGGATATCGATATCATATCATGAACAGTTATATGATAACATCATTGAAAATAAGAGGGAAGAATGAACAAAACAGCATCAATCCATGAATTTTTTCTCTTAGATTTTCAGTTTCTCAAGTGGATGAATTGGCAACTACTGGATACAAGTATCTTCAAGTTTAACCACAAATACAATATCACTGATCCTGATTTGCAATACCATGTGAAAAATGATTAAATAAACATCAGTACACCTCTGGTCACTACCATTTAGATCCCTAATTCATCGAATTCATGTGATGATGAATGCATGAAAACACACAAATAGGTAATACTTTATTAAAACAGCTGCCTTTGGCCATTCGTCAGAATTGGAAGATAAATCACCAGAATTGATAAACTTGCAATAATAGTAAATGTGTATTAATAGTTCTGTGTTGTATAATCAGAACTAAATTAACCACTAAGCAAAATAAGCATGTGCTTAGGCATCAAGGATAGAGACACCATAAAAAGATTCTTGAAACTCAAAAAAAAAAAAAAAAAAAAAAAAAAAAGCATCATAAAAATTTCTCAATGCCAGTTTCTGTGGAATGTATGGTGCAGCTAAACCAAGACTGACAGAAAAAAATGAAGAGAAAAAACGGTGAAAATGAATGTGAGAGCACCAAAATTTCTGAAGTGCTTAGGTCCTCTATCTAAGTCTTTATTTGGCCATGCATATAATATATATATGTATCATGTTTAATGCACATGATGTTGAAATTAAGCAATTTTTGTGATGATTCTCTGATATTTTTTAAGCGAAAAGAGATTGCTGCATACATGAGGAGAACAACAGTGTCGTTTTCCCCATGTACACAGCCACATTGACTTGTTTTTCCTCCAAAAAAAAAAAAAAAAAAAAAAAAAAAGAAAAATCAGATAACTGCATAAATTTGGCATCACACACAGCCTTCGCATTGCAAACATTACAAATTTTATATATCATATGATATGCTATGGTTTTCCATTTTTTTTTAAGGTTTCTATAGTATTTTTGGTACTTATATATTATTCCACTACCCACGAAAGTTGGCAGAGATCCTCCAAAGCTGGGTCAACCATTAGGTGGAATTCTAATTCATAATTTTATTTAATAAACAATTATTATTTGCTTCACTTCATTTTTGTGCTTTGTTAAAAGGCTTTCGTTGATTTATATCATTTTGTTAGGCCCTCCAATTTTCCCAGAAGATCTATTTAGAATGCAATTAACACAAAATTCCTTTAGGTAGTTATTTCAGTTTATTACTGTTCTGTTGGCAATACTCAGCCAATCACATCAAAAAAGGTACGATCCCATAACTTTAGAAATAATCCACTGCTTGCTGCTTTTGATAAGAAAGTTCCAAATTCTAATCTTTCTTTTTCAAAATGCAAGAAAAATACAGGAACAGCAATTAATTTATATCTTTGTTAATAAAAACAAAATATAGCTTATCAAAAAATCAATCGGTGTTCCAAAAAAAAAAAAAAAAAAAAAAAAAAAAAAAAACACAACAAATGTTATGCGTGCATTGTTAACTCATGCTTATCTATAACTGGAACTAAATTGTGTTGGTTGCCAACAATTTCATAAAATGTGAAATAATATATAAGCAGCACATTTTCTAGTTTCTTTTTGCCATGAAGCTTTATGTATTAATAAGGATGCTATAGTTAAATTTTGCACCAATGTTTATGTCTGCAGCTAAAATGGTGCACCATTAACAGAAAAGCTCATACTTTTAAACATTTTACTTAGAGCATACTGATCAACTTGAAAAATATATTTAACTGTAATACATAATTTTCTTCTTTTGTACTCAAATTTTTCAAGATGTATTGTGACTTGTGACCATATAAATTCAAAATTGCACACATGATTAACAATGTAATTTTCAAAATTTCTATTAGAATAATTAGGTAAGGATGTTTATTTCAATAAAGTTCAATAAAGGCTTAAGAATCGAGGACACATACAAATTTGTTCAGTTCTTGAGCCCTTGGAAGAATAATGAGAGAATTACAGTACATCCTTAAATCATTAAGATATATAAATGCCGAGTAACATGTCTAGAAAACAACTTCTGGTTTTTCGCTATAACAGAAATAAAAAAAAATTGTATATAAATAGAAATTTATTTCTCTGTTCGCTGAATCTCTTTTAAATGAGCTATAAGATTTTCTAAACCAAATAAGTAACCTTCATCTGGGCCTTCATGAGTCACTGGAGGATTAGGCATCTTACTATGAGTTGAATGTGCAAAATCAATCATACACAGATCTACAACAGGAAGAGATTCTTCACATTCTGCCTTCTCTATAGATTTGCCAATTTTATGATTTATACACAAAGTTGTATCACTAGAAGCTGAACCTTTATCACAACATTTAGATTGAGATTCTTTAGTTTCTTTTTGTTTATCTGCAATATTACCATTATCAGATAGTTGTAAAGTTATACTTTGCTCCCCGCAAGCATTTTTATTATTTCTTATATAATGCTCTGAATTGCCATCATATATTATCAGTAGGGAGCTAGTGAAAAAACGGAATGTATTCAAGCTTTGGACCACAGAATATAATTTGTGTAACTTTTCAAGAAGTGCAGATATAACACACTGACGTACCTTTGTGCCGTCATATAAAAAGTTGTAGAGAGCTTGGTGAAATCCATCTACAGTTAAACTGCGCCCATAATACTTGTTATGGCATGTATAACGACCAGATTCTTGATGATATACCTAAAAATTAAATTTGGAATATAAATCACAGAAACAATGTACTTTAAAAGATTTTTAAGCAGAAGTCAATTCAAATGCAAGGCAGACTAATTTTCACTACTTCAAGGGGAGTTAATTTTTAAAGATTTATATTTCAGGAACAACAGAAAAAAATAATACTTCCTAACACAACTTTCAGAGTAATAAATGACAAAAACAAATGACTACAGTAAAATTTCTCACCTTTTTTCAGAGCCAAAACCATTAATTTAAATGGTGGAATTCATAATTTTAAGATCTTTTTAATTTTCTCTACGGGATTTATTACATTGTGGAGATTCTGATGTAAAGAATTATGTTACTTCTCAATAACATTCAGCACTAGCCAGAACCAGCAAGACAAAAGCCCTTCAACAACAAAAAATAATTTCAAACAAAACACAGAACACAGAAGAAAAATCAATTTTTTTGCACTTTTTTTCATTTTAAAAATTTGTTGGCTTTCTCAACTATTGTCATATCCTTTTTCTACCATTTCACAATCATATAAATAATTTTCAGTTGCCACTGTTCAATTTTCAGTTGTTTCCATTTAAAATTTTAGTATAATTAAAATTCCAATAATAAAGAATGTTTTCTGAAATGCACAAATACTTCCTAATGAGGAATTTTTTCAACGATTAGAAGTCAACGTTTGTTTCAGAATGGTACTTAAGAGCTGAAGTCTTTAAAAAGTAGCCCATGGCCTTCCATAAATTAATTTTGAAGAACTTTGTCAATTCACTTTTTTGAAAAATTCAATAGCAAAGAATTTTACCGTTTGGCTGTTGAATTAGCAAAAAATAATTAAACTGTGCAATTACGGACTTTTATTAATCCTGAAATAAAATTTTTGCTTTTTAAAAAACTACAATGCATGTTTTGTGTAGTAATTATAAAACTGCAAGATTTTTAATTTTGAAACATAACATTTATTATTTTATTGTGCACAATAAATACAGTACAAAGTCCGTAATCCAGAATCATCGGGACTTCGCCGATTCCAGATTAGGGATTTTTCCGGATTATCGATGATCAATTTAAATCTGGTAAGATGGCATGCAGAAATTATACAATTAAAAATATGAAACCTTAATTTATGAAATAAAGAGCAATATTTCCAAGAGTATCAAAATTTACAAAAAAAAAAAAAAAAAAAAAAAAAAAAGCTTAATATTTATTTTTTTTACTTTAATAAACATTTCTATCAACGTAAGTTGCTTCATTTTTTGTGCTAATACTTTCTCTTTAATTCTATAAACAGACATAATTTTTGTTACAAAGTTCCACTGTCCTGCAATTGCTGTGTCGAGAATACCGACTAACTTGTCAATGGAAATTTTTTCATTTACAATAAAGTTCTCTGTTACTTTCTTCACTATCGGAAGCACACATGGGTAAACGCTTTACTGGCTTCACGTGCATGCATAGCGGGCGGGCGAATCAAATGCGCATGCGTAAGTTTGGGGCTTTGAGGTCCGGATTATAGATCATTCCGGATAATGGACATCCGGATTCCAAACTTTGTACTGTACACTATTTTGCTATTTACTTTGATCATATGGATAATTTCTATATCATTAAGCAAGCAGAATTTATATAAATAGATATATGCCATGATGAAGATTACATGTTTGTGTTTGTTACATTTAACACAGTTTGAATAAACACAAAACCTATATTTCTTCATAAAAAAAAAAAAAAAAAAAAAAAAGCTTTCTTATATACATGCAAGATAAAAATATGTAAATTAAAATTCTATTTTAAATGTGTAATAGTTCCTATATCCTTTGTTTTAATTTGGATATTTTTCCTTTCTATATTAAAAATAACAAATGCTTATACATTTCCTTTGGACTGCTTCATTTCCAGATTAATCCACACCGATTCATGATGCAGAAAATTATGCATATAGATACTGAAGCATACATAGTAGATCCATAATGAAAAGCAAATTTGACAGCCGAGATAGATTTAATAAAACACAGTTGTGGCAGAGTTAATATTTTTTTTTATTGACATTTATGGACACAAATAGCTTGGGACTTTAATTGTGCCTATTTAAGAACATTTACATTTTTGAAATCATTGCGATAAAAAGAAAGCAGCGGAGTAGCAGCCTAGTTAGGCTGAGAAGCCGAAGTGAAGTATGATGTATGCAGGATGAAATCCAAATTCAGAGTAAGTTAATTTCACTTTCAAAGGCTTTAGATTGGATAATTAAAGAAGTTCTAAAATTATTATTGGTTGTTGGGAGTTTTAGTTCACAAAACTATTTATATCACCAGTATTATGTAAAAGTCACATGATATAGATTAATCCAGAAATGACGCAGAGCAGAGACATTTTATTATACGCCAAAGCTATTTTTAGAACAGAAGGAGGAATTACCTACATAAAACGAAGAATTAAAAAATTACTGAAAATTTAAGTTAGACTTTTGATTTACATATTTTTTATCTTTTATATATATATATGTATAAACAAAAACAATTTAATGAAGGGCAAGTTAATCGCTGCCCAGACGGTATAGTGGCTAGGGAAGCCTGACTGTGATATTGAAGGGCCCGGATTTGAATCCTGGAGAAGGCATGGATGTAAAATTGTCTGTCACTTCATAGGAGGTAACAATGGCCGCCTATTAGGCGCCTCCACAATAAAATAGCCATTACTTCCTGCCTTAGTAGTGGCCAATGCCACTATGAGCAAGTGCTCGCTGTTTGGGGGGGGGAAAGACAAATTAATTTTAAAATCAAAACTATGCACCCATAAGCTGCATTAATTCAGTAGCAATGGATCTTAAATTCAAAACACAGTCCGAGGAAATTTAACCCTCCGAGCGTTACGCGTTTAGCTCTGAAATTTCAAAGTTCCTCAAAATGTCATGAATAAGTGGTATTTTTGATTTTAATTGAAAAATGGCTCTCTCATTTGGACGTGATTCTTTTCTCCAATATACATCCAAACCAAAATCAGATACATTAAAATCTAGCAGAAATTTTCATATATAATGAATATAGAAGGCAGCCTTCTGTGCGGAATTTTCCGGCCGTAACGCTGAGAGGGCTAAATATCATATTCAAATTTGGAATATTGAATTGGCATAAAAAATTGCTCATGCAAAACTATTGTAAAAAATAACAAGAAAAGGGAAGCCCTTCCAAAGCCCCCCCCCCTTTGAACAAACTAACACTATGCAAAAACAAATTTTATACAAAAATTACCACATAAACAAGATAATTGCAAAAACGTTCCAAACAATGATAAAGGCAAATGGATGGTACATTTCCTTGTACATATTTGCCTGGGGGTTGGGTGTATGAAGAAAAAGCTTGTTTCTGAATATAATTATAAATTTTCAGTCATTCTTTGTGCAGCATTTTACATTTTAGAATTCGCATTCATTTTTGATATGCTGTTTAACTGCATTTAAATTTTGGCAAGGTGCCTTTCAATTGTAGCCTGTATGGACTGGACTGATGAATCCACATATTGATTTAATTTACATTTTCCTGATTTAAGATTATTTCCATGTGCTTGTGCATTTGTTAGTGCATTAAACAGGCCTTCTTTTATGTTTCTTCATACAACAATCCTCTGACAAAGATGCAGCAACATAAAATTATAAAATCCATTTGCCTTTATTTCTTTTTGCACTTATCTTGTGTACATGGTAACTTTTGCACAAATTTTGATTCTGCACAGCATTGATTTAACTGAGAATTCTGGAGCAGTATTCTCATATTCTCGCTAGTTTTTTGCATTAGCAATTCTTTTTGTACCAACTCATTATTCAAGAATTGAATATACTACTTAAATTTGCTTGGATTGTGTTTTGAATTTAATACATACATAATATGCAAGGTGTCTATAATTAAAGAACCCTATTTCAGAGCTGCATATAAACGAAACCATTGATCAGAAAATAGTAAAATTTTGTGGCAGACTTAAATGAAGGGATAAAAATTTCTTTCAGAGGGGAAAAAAAAAAAAAAAAAAAGTTATAAATAGCATCACCAGAGGGCATTTTATTAATAAATTATACATTTAGGCACACCTTTACAATAGTTTTACAATTTTACAAATTTTGTTAAAAAAAAAACATGTTTCACATGAAGGCCATCATTTTGAACTACCATCTGAAAGTGCAAGATGGCATGTTCCACAACTGACCGAAGTGTGTGCCGAGAAATGTTCAGCACATGGTGCGTGAAATGCTGGCTTTAAGGTCAGGTAAAGATCTTGGATTGTCACAACTTACCAGATGTTTCAAATGTTTCTAAATCCGAAAATCACATGGATTGAGGTTTGGGGATTGGAGAGCAACACATCGGTTATCATTTTCCAAAGGTTTTCAGCATTGTTCATTGGACCTCTTAGAATCCCCTTCAAATTTCTGTAGAGCAACTACTGCCGAATTACTGTTGTGACAGAACAATTTTACTAACTAAGCACGATCTAGTAAACTTATTATCATTGTGAACAACATGAACATTTAAAACAAAGTCTTCGCATATGTATCTAGGTCTTATAACAGCTGCTGCATGACGACAAACATTTGCGCTTTTTCTAAAGTAAAACGCCCTTTGTTATAGACACCTTGTTTATGTGTAACACAAAAAAATCAGCAACTAAAATTATAACTTAAATTAGCAACAGCCCCAAAATACTTAATTTTAATTTGGGTATCTCCTGTTTCTGTTCTAAATTGCTTATAATACATTTTTCTGAATTGCCTCTTTCTAAATTAACTTATTTCATGCTTGCTTAAGTAATTCTCATGGAGGTAAGAAGTAAGATGGAGTGGTCCTAACTGGTTTCCCCAATACCCTGCTTTGAAGCACTGGCGATCCCTTCGTTGGTGGCCAAAACATTGGGTAATTTACCATCAAGTTCAATGGATTTTGACATGATTGGATGTAAATATTTTGTAATTATGTCGTAAATATACATATAAATGTATATACAGTACAAAGTCTGTAATCCGGACTCGTCGAAACTTTGGTGATTCCGGATTATGGATGATCAATTTAAATCTGGTAAGATGGCATGCAGAAATTATATAATTAAAAATATGAAACCGTAATTTACGAAACAAAGAGCGATTACGATCTAAAGGGTATCAAATTTTCCAAAAGAAGAGGAAGAAGAAAAAAAAAATATCGCTTAACATTTATTTGTTTACTTTATTAAACATTTCTTTCAATGCGCGCATGGGTAAAGCATACATTATGCACATGCACATTCTTTACGTGCATGCATAAAGCATACCAAAAAAAAGGTTGCGGCTTTGAGGTCCGGATTATAGATCATTCCAGATAATGGATGTCCGGATTACGGACTTTGTACTGTATTTTTTTTTTTTACAATACTTCAGAGTCCAAAGTATATGAAAAGAATGCATTTTTAAACAACATTTAATTCTGAAAGGTAATAAATACTATACTTTTCATAGAACAGTTTGCTCAGAATGGTTTAATTTGATTGAAATATTTTCACAAGTTTTTGTTAATTACATTAGAAAAAAAAATTAAGGTCATTTTATTTTATTCAGTTAAGGATTACAAAAATTAAGATCAAAGTTTATTGTATTATTAATGTTAAAATTATGCATTATTTCTTTTCTATTTATGCAGCTTCTTCCTAAAATAATTTCTCAAATATGTGTGAGATTATGGCAAAGCCTCGAGGGCTATCTGCCTAAAGGGGGATGCCTTCATGGAGGATTTTTCCAAGGAAAACTGGCTCATATACACATTACACATGGAGAAACCACGAAACGCCCATGCAGCCAGCCCATTCGCGGGATTCGAACCTCAGACCAAACTACCAGTGTCCAGCGACTTTACAGCTTGGCCACTAGTGGGCCCTTTCTCAAATATGACATGATTTTTTAGCTTTTGATACATCTTTTTAAATCAAAAAATATAAGTCAATTAATAATTAATGCTCTATTTGGTCCATTTCAAATTAGAGCATCTTTTATTTAAATAGCGAAATACTTTAAATAGTACTTAACTTTCTCTGAATATTTCTGAAAGGGAATAAAATAAGGATTTTAAAAAATATTATTTAAAATTTTAAACTGAGTTATTATAAAATCTAAGGAGAATAATTCTTTTAATTATCAGATTTTTTACTCTTTATTTCAACAACATATATTCCAAAACTCTTCTTTATTACTTTCTTAAGTATGCATCTCACAGAATTTGCTTTATAACACCTTTTAACAGATTGATTTCCAATATGAACAATTCTTGCTCAAATAGTTTTATAACTTATTTGTTAACAGAATTTCAATTTATGTTTACAATTCATTGTTAAGGTTATTATATATTTAGATAATATTTATAATCATTGTAAATTGACCGCACATGGTACTTCCGCCGAATTCGCAAATGCATCCGTCTTCTGTTCCATACATTTGTGTAAAACTGTACATAATTTTACACAAATGTCTGGTTACAAATCAAGGAAAAGTTAACTTATTGGCATATCTGTGCATATATTTATTAATTTTGACAAGGATTGCAGCATTTGATGGTAATTTTATTTTTATTAACACAAATAAGTAAAATGCGTAAGTCTAAAGTGTTTATTTTTGAGATATATAAAAATAAAATGATGAGTTTAAAATGAGCAACAGTAAAGCCTCTGCTCTAAAAAATTTTAAAAAGTATATATTACAATAAAATGTGGATGTGAAAAATTTTTATTTTATTTAAAATATTTTGGAGTTTGAAACATAAAATAAAAGTAGCGAATACTCTATCAATGGTATTGAAAGGTGTATACAATTTTAAAGGTACCGTAAGGTATTTTTTTTCTTTCTTTAATAGCATAACATTTTTGCTAAAATCTACATTTTTGTAGTTCAACAGCTTAGAATTTTATAAAACAAATTCATAATCAAAATCACTCTTCTTAGTTATTGAAAAATAAACAAGATGTGATTTTTGCATAAAAGTCACTAAACTATACAAATTGCTATTATGTTTTCATTTATGCGGAAGTGCCCCATTTTTTGATTTGTTGGAATTGTCATGTGTCAAAATACTATCACAGCACTGTCAAGAGAGCTTCTGAATGTAAACAAAAAACACCCCATCTGGTGACCAAAGCTTCAGAGCAGTGCCGGTTTGGCCACTTCTTCCTTTCTTACCTCCATGGTAATTCTACAATGCATATAGCTCTTATCCAATCAGATTAAAGAAACTTTAGTCTAAACATATCACATTGTTGTAGCTTTTTTTTCTGCTCCACCTAGCTGCTAGCCGGGCATAGTTTGCTGCTCTGCTTCATCCTTTGTCTTAGACATTAGTGTACAGAATTGTGAGATGCATATCCTACCCATAACGACGAAGAACATATGTCCTAAAAATAGGTTATTAAGAAATAAAATTTTGTGTGGAAATGATGGCCATATCTGCCTACAAATACCATTCTTCTAACATTGCAGTAATGCCAAATTATTACAATACAAAGAACCATCACCAATATATTGCAGCTATTCACTAATCATCCCACTGTAATGATTCTATGACAATTGAATCTATGCTATTTCAATAAATTTCACTTTCTGCATGTCTAACAAAACATCTCTCTGGGAAAATATATATATATATATTCATTTATCTGTGATTTCATAAGTGCTTCAAAACTTACTTGGAGTCTATGGAATACTCTTTGAAGTGTTTCAAAGCTTTAGCAGTACAGTCATTAATTTGTATTTACAAGAACTGCTGATATAAAAAATCAGCCGAGATCCTCAATTACGAGAGCCATTTATTTTGTATGTGCGCCTTATTAAAGTGGAACAAAATTCAAATATGTGCAATGACCCTGAGATGCCTGTTTTAAAGTTTTAAAGTTTGAAACACTCGTAGGCTATGACCCCAGTTTACCAGTTTATGACCCAGTGCCAAGTTTTATTTAAGCCTAAAATTATTACTTTTTATTATAAATTAATTTTAATTGGTACATGATATATTAAAATATATGAGTTTAATGATATATTAAAAACTTTTAAGTATCAAAAAGTAGCACAAAAAATGACGGAGAGGTGGAAATTTCGAATAAATTTTAGTGGCACTGATTTGTCAAAAGTAGCAAATGCAAGAAAAAGTGTATGATTTGGCAACAATGTATCTCCCTTGATCTATCAGAACATATTAAACTAAAAAATCCCCAAAATGAAATTTCACAACTAAGTTTTAACACATGCATTCTGCCAGTGCATCATTACCATGCATAGCATAAGTCTCTTTATGTGCATCTGCAGTTCTTTGTTCTTTTAATTTTGTGGGAATAAAAAAGTAAATATAACAACAATGTTATACATTTTCCCCCCTTTAAAAATGGCTTTCAACATGCTATATAAATATTCCCTAATTCTGATAAGTTTTACTTAAAGCACATGCAAAAATATGTCTATTGAAACAATGACTCTTCAAAAAATTGTTTAGAATAATGATAAAAGGAAAAATAGAACACTGTTTCTGGACAATCCAATATTCAACAGTTTCTTAATTTAAAAAATTTTACAAGTCCTTTAAAGCAAAATATTTTAAACTTCACTTGACAAATGCAAATAACGAATTAAATTCAATGTGAGTTTAAATTACCTGCATTCCAGATATTCTTATTCCAAGAATAGCTGATGTTGAAGCAGCTGCCTTTGCCGTGTGTGAGGTTCTTTTAGCAAGTGAAGCAGTGTCTCCATATTGTCTTGTTCCCATCTTTATATCCAAAATGCAGGGAAATTCAAATTTTGAAACTCGGTTTTCAAGTAATATATATTCTGAAGGAACAGAAAAGTAAGTGAAAAACTATTTAGCAGATGAAAGATTTCAGGAATCACAGGAAATTGAACTATGCGGCATTTTGTATCTTACCAAGTGCAAGATAAAACAGTTCTGCATGCATTCAACTCCATTAAGCAATAGACTCTAAAAATTGGAGGAGGAAAAAAGAGAGCAAAGTTAGTGCTCTACTCCTTGATACCATGAAGTAAGAAACAAATGTTTTCACAAACCTGACTAAAACAATGTGGAAAGCTTCATACTGTTATATAAAAAAATTAATTTCCTTATTTTTTGTATAAAATTATAACCCAATGTTCACAAACATTTTAATTCAAACATCACATTTTTAAAATTCATCCCATCCAACTAAGCTTGCTTCTTATGCCACAGAAGACTGGATGTAATGCAGAAGCGGCTGCCATCTTAAGGTTACTTATAATCTATTTCTGTAAGGAAGCAGTAACATTAGTTTCTTTCTGAGACACTTTACATGTTTAATATGCCACTAGTTGATTGTTCAAAAGTATTAAAAATCTAAATTTAGAAACTTAAGCCCTTTTCCTTTAGTGCAGATAATTGTCATCACATTGTGGAATATGGATGTCATAAGAAATTGAAATTGCTGTAAAGGTAACAAGTAACGTTTGAATTACTATTAGAAACTACACCCTGTTTATCAGCAATAGATTTATATTATTATTATTATCCATATATACATAACTGCTCAACTACGATACAGCTCCAACTATCAAGACTTCAGTAGCAGGAGTTGATAAAGTCGCTATGCAATTAGGTTTCTTGTTCGAATCTTTTCAACTGATTTAAATAGTATAAGAGGATAAACACAGAACTGCACATATTTTCAGGAAACTAATAAGTTTATTTAGATGAATGTTTACAATATCAAATTGGTCTGAAATGCTTATTTAATAAATAAAAGTATAAAAATTAATTTAAAACTAATTACACATTAGTTCCAGGCCACCTGCCTTTCATTCGGCAAGTCATTATTTTCTTATGACATGTGCTTCTTTTCTAATAGCAGCAAGCTAAATAAAATTGACAACATTATATCAATTCTCTCATGTACAAGGAACTTTGGTCTTATAATACATATGCAGCAGTTATACAGAAAAAAATTATTTTCCCCCCTTTTTTGGTGCTTTTGTATTTATTTATTTTATATTTCTTTATTTATCCTTCTGTACAGTAAATATTAAAAGATAATTTTATATATATATACACACATAATTTCAAACTACATATAAATAAAATGAATTTTGTTTTATTTGAGAAAGCAGGACCGTATTAAGTATTGAGGAAAAAAAATAATTTATTAGTTTAATTTTGAAGAAAAAATGCATTTTGTGCTATGTTTTACAGAAATATTTATTATTTTTGACAGCATAAACTCTCTTGAAATATAACAAGGGATCAAATTATTTGGAATTTTAAAATCCATATGGGTTGTAAATCCATTTAGTCCAGATATTTGGAGTTCACCGTGTTTATCATGATCAGCTGAATTGACTTCTAATACACTAAAATCCCAGCATTATACCAAGTGGAAAGCTGAAGTAACTCAAATATATTAGAATTTTAGGAAAATTTAGTAAATGAGAGATTTGAAATGGCATCATAGAGCTTGTTATATGCAAACATTGGCACTAAACAGTGTGATTTAGCACCAATAACAGATAAGCAAATGTCACAGCACAATCACAAGAAGTTTGTTTTGTAAATATAACGTATTTGTATTAAATATAACGTATTTGTATTTATATATACGTATTTGTATTAAATATAACGTATTTGTATTTTGTAAATATAATGCTGATTTTTGTTGTTTGACTTCTGAATTAGTATTTATTCGGCATGTTATTGTGTCTTAATTAAGTTTGTTTTGGTTTAATGTAAAAGACTAATTCTTGATAAGCCAGTTAAATTTTTTTGAAGAATTATATAATTTGCATTTTCCCCTCGAATTTGGAAAAAAAAAATTCATATCTGGGATAGCATCCAATGGGGTATTTTTAAAATTACAGGATCCAGGTATTTAAAAAAAGGGGGGAGGCAAAGAAAGAAAGAAAAAAGGCTGCAACGCACAATTTTCAAAACTGAATAATAGCAAAGGAGAACTGATGAGCATCAATTTAAGTTTTTTTATTCTATATCTACTTTTGTATCTGTTGATTATTTAACTACTAAATAAAGAACAAGCTGTTTGCTTAAACTTCTAACAGAATAATTGGTGACTTCCCACCAACTTTCACATTTGGCAGGATTTCATAATCAGATCAGATGATTTATTTTCATGTTTAAGGCCTGCAAAATACCTCACTTTTTTATGCTGGAAATGCAGACTTTTTTTCTAAATCTTACATAATTTTAAACATAGGCCTTTGATATTATAATTTTAAACATAGGCCTTTGATATTATAATTTTAAACATAGGCTTTTGATATTCAAGTTGGTAACAAACGAGATGATTGTTTTTATAATTTTAGAGTGGAAATTTTTTCCATTCATTTTGCTTTCCTAACTCAAATTCCAAATGATTGGCTGAATCACTGGCATTTCCCGAGCGTTCCAGATAATCGAGCTTTTACTGTAAATGATGAGGCCAGTTCAGCATTTTAAAATACTACGATGATTCATCTAATAACACCAATTCCCCCGCTGAGCAACTTAACACTTGATGAATGGATACTAAATATAAATATCTCCAGTTAAGTCAGAGATCTTAAATTTTGTTGCTGGAAAGAGCTCACACAGTTGAATCTTTATGAATTTGCACAGAGATTCAGCTATGTGGCTAAACCAATTGCACTTAGTTCAGCTTTTCTGGCCAAGAATGGTTCCTCAGTTTGCCCTTACAACTAATAACACTTGCAGCAATATAATGAACCCAAAGACCACCATCTAAGGTTTCAAATAAATTTCTTCTGCAAAGACAGGTACAAGCAATAAAGAACTACTTACTCACACATCTGTACTGTTATACTCTTAAGAACTAAAGAGAGTTTGAAAGAGAACAGTTTAAATAAATATTTCTAGTGCTGCTTAATGTAACTAGTAACACTATGTAAGGAAAAACTGCACTGCAGTGAAACCTCTCTAAGAAACCATATATGGTTCCAGATGGTTTTGGTCTTCTCTGGAGGAAAGTAGAAGCAATAAAGGAAAACACTTAGTGCTCCTTAGTGAGTTACTTTTATCAATTTTAATTAGTAGTATAGTAAGAAAAGTAACATTTCTGTTACACTTACAATTTTTTTCTTTTAGTTTGGTACTTATTAATTAAAATTACTTAGTTAACATATATATAAAAGAATTCCCGCAATTCTTTTATTTACTCCGGATATCTGATTTTGTAACTGCTATTTCTCCTGAATAATAATAAATGGATCCTGTTTTTTTAAACTTATTGTCTGATAATGTAAGCTACGACTAAAGCTGGTACATCACATATATATATTTTGAGTTCTCCTAAAGTTTGTATATATTGTAGCATATTTTGGAATAAGATGTGATAAACATTTTAGCTTTGCAACCAAAGACAGTTTCCTATGGTGATCTCTTAGAAATAGAATGAAATATCCTATTATTCATTACTTAAACATAGTCCCTCAGTCTTCACTTCAATGGCCAGCTTTTTCCTTTTATATCCATGCACATAGCATATTTCCGATGTCCTAATTAGCTCCTCTGTAATTCCCTTGTCTTTATGGCTGAGACTTGCTATGGATAATCTTAAAAATTGCTTAGTATTTCTTCAGGCTTCTCATCACATCAGAACAAATTCTCTGCCACTGTTAGAATGTAAAATTGATGATGGTCAAATGCAATGAAAATATATTCATGAGGTTACATGCCATCTTCTTTAGCATCTTCAGCATCATATTCTTGAGAAACCCCAACTTAGTGAGATGATCTTGACATACCATTATAAACTTCAATTCCTCATCAGGATATATGACTAAAAATTGATAAGATCAAACTGATAACACAAACAAAAATCTTAAAAAACAGTCTTGATTAATAATGTTTCTTGTACTTGTGCAAGACAGTTTTTTTTTAAACATTCTATCACAGTGTTTCTCAAACTGTGATCCACCGACCATAGGTGTTCTTGTAGCCTGCACACGTGGTCCTCCTAGACTTGCAAAAATGTCATACTACACTCACGTTTGTGAAAATTGCAACACCATGAAGGACTTACGCGAGTGAGCTGAAATTTTCAGGAAATGCAAAGTAGCGCATGATATGCAAATGATTAGAATTGCAAATCCGTAGCGCATGCGTATGCTGAGCAGCGCCCTCTGAACGGCTGATGGATCCGAATAAATAGACGGCTGTAGCGAGGCGTGTATGGTTATCGGTGGTTATCTGCTAGTGGTAAACGTTAACTCAATCTGTACTTATGCCTCGTCGACGAAAGAGAGCGAGATTTGAACAACTTACAGAGTTTGAACGAGGGAGAATCATCGGCCTTCGTGAAGCTGGATTGTCGTATCGTGCAGTAGCCTCTCGTGTGCAGCGTAACAGCAGCACAGTGATGCGCGTTTGGAAGCAGTGGACGGACGAGTGTCGGACAACTCGGAAATCCGGGAGTGGACCCCGAAATGTGACGTCAGCTCGCGATGATAGACACCTGGTCCGCATGGCGCGGACGGACCGTACAGCTTCCTCTAGACAATTGGCAGCACTGTGGTCAATAGCTACAGGTGTTTCATTGTGTGCTTCATCAATTCGTAGACGTCTGCTGCAGTGTGGACTGCGCGCACGGACTCCTTTATACAGGATCCCCCTAACGCACGACCATCGCCGCCTGCGGCTACAATGGGCCAATCAGCATAGAGACTGGCGTGCTGATTGGCAGCATGTCGTGTTTTCTGACGAATCCCGCTTTAATTTGTGGTACCATGATGGCCGCATTCGTGTCAGACGCTATGCCGGTGAACGCCACCTTCCGGAGTGCATTATCGAACGCCACAGTGGACGAACACCCGGAGTTATGGTCTGGGGCGCCATAGCATATCATAGACGATCTCAATTGCTACGAATTGTGGGCAATCTGAACAGCAACCGGTATATCCGTGAAGTTCTACAGCCCGAAGCTGTTCCCTTCCTTCAAAGCTTGCCAGGCGCTGTATTTCAACAGGACAATGCCCGCCCTCATACTGCTCGGATTGTTAAATCCTTCTTTGCAGCGCAGCAGGTACAGCTTCTTCCTTGGCCTGCGTGTTCCCCGGATATGTCGCCAATTGAACATGTGTGGGATGTCATTGGTCGGCGTCTTGCTCGTGATCCTCGTCCTGTTGCGTCTGCAGACGAACTTTGGGTACGCGTACAAACGATATGGAATGCTCTTCCTCAGTCAGACATTCAAACTTTGTTTGACTCCATGCCACGTCGTGTAGCAGCACTTATTGCGGCGCGTGGTGGCCACACAAAATACTGATTCTGATCTCTTGTTCTTGTTTGTTTGCTTTGAACATTTAATCATTTATTTGTACCACTACCACTCAACTGTGTATTAAATTGCATTCAATTATGACGATTCCTTCTTGGTGTTGCAATTTTCACAAACGAGAGTGTATTTATAAATGAAATTAACAAAATTTTACTTCATTTCTTGCTCATGACATGTGACTAAGTACACTGGCATATCGTTCAGGTGTATTTTCATAACTAAATGAACTAAATCACTGCCTACAAGATAACTTTTGGTAACCATGAGAAATTAAAGGAGTCTGAGAAGAAACTTCGTTTTGTGGATTAGTTATGTAAAAACATTTTCACCATTTCCAACCTTAGAAGGTTTTTTTTTAGAAAATTGTAACATTATTGGAAAAAGAATAATCCAATGACATTTTGCATCTCAAAACTTTAAAAGCCACAATCTAAAACTTATTTCTCAAGGGGTAAATTTAGGAATATTTATGGGTTGTTGATTCTTTCCACTGTGATTCAGAAAATAACGAACTGACGTTGAATGAAAGAGAACAGTTAACTGAACTCTTGAATGACACCAGACTTAAAACGAAATTCCAAGCAGAAAGTGTAGTTAATTTCTGGACCTTATTACAGTTAAAAGTCGTTAATCCGGACTCGTCGGGACTTCAGCGATTCCGAATTATCGATTTTTCCGGATTATAGATCATCAGTTTAAATCTCGTAAGATGGCATGCAGAAATTCTAAAATTAAAAATATGAAACCGTAATTTATGAAATAAAGAACAATTATGATCTAAAGGGTATCAAAATTTACAAAAAAAAAAAAAAAAAAAAAAGCTTAATACTTATTTGTTTACATTATTAAACATTTCTTTCAATGTAAGTTGTTTAAGTTGCTTCGTTTTATGGGATAATACTTTCTCTTTAATTCTAGAAATAGACATAATTTCTTCTTCAGTTAAAAAGTTCCGCTGTTCAAGTCCCGTTAATTGCTGTGCCGAGAATACCGACTAACTTGTCAATTGAAATTTTTTCGTTTTCACTAACCTCTCTGTCACATTCTTCATGTCTTTATCCATTTTTTGCAGCAATTCCACTGCGTTTGCGCACATGCATATGCGCAGTAGTCAAGGTCTTACGCGTACGCGTAAAATGCCTGTGCGCATGTGCCAACGCGGCGCATGCGCAGAAAGTTTTTAGTTTTGAGGTCCGGATTATAGATCATTCCGGATTATGGGTGTCCGAATTAACGACTTTTGACTGTACTGGTGTAAATGGAATATAGTGAATTGCACAATGGTGCTTTAAAAATTATAATTCAGTTTTTTTTATATGTATCCGTTAGAAAGCATTTTCATCATTAATACATATATAAAAACAAGGAGCCAAAATCAAATTGATGGTAAATGCCATTCTCATCCATGTCAATAATGTAGTACTAGCATTTACTTAATTTTTAGTTAATAAAACAAAGAGTATCCAAACTCTAATAGCCTTGAATTATTGAAAACGAATTTAACATTTCTCCTATCAACTTAATTGATTAATACTAATATCTTCAATATCATATTAATTTTAATTAATTGTATGTAAAAAATCTAAGCATACTGGTACAGTCAAAAGTCGTTAATTCGGACACCCATAATCTGGAATGATCTATAATCTGGACCTCAAAGCTACAAACTTTCTGTGCATGCCTTGCGTTGACGCATGCGCGTAAGACTTTTACGTCTGCGAATACGCATGTGTGCACGCGCATAATACGTTTACGCTTGCGCATTTAATGTATAATGGACGGTATAAGCTAAGCTAAAATTATCTAATTCAGTTAATGTTGCAGATTGCGTTGTTTCCTTAATCTTTGAATTGGATCCAGGCTTTATTGTTTTTTGCAGACTGTTAGAGCAATTTTATAAAAGTAAGATTGAACTTTTGATTATGTCAAATAGAATTTCCGATATATATTTACTAATATGTAAAGGATCTACAAAGCGAAAGTATGTTTCGAAGTCCATTAAACCAAAAGTGGAATTGCTGCAAAAAATGGATAAAGGCATGTCATTCGTTTCTCAAACCATTCCGAAATCTGTTTATCAATTTCACGCTGCTCTGCGGCCCGGGGAGGGGGGGGGAACGCCGAAACGATGCGGCGCGCAATGAATTGAAAGGTAATCTGTCAGCACTATCCTTATTTTCAGGGCAGATGTTTTTATTTTATTTGGCTTATAATTCCTTACTACATGTAGTATTTCATCTCGATGTACTCTGTCTTTGATATGATTTAAATCAAATTCCTCGTCATTATAATCCGCTTCTGGTAAAGTAAAGAGAAAGTATTATCACATAAAACGAAGCAACTTAAACAACTTACATTGAAAGAAATGTTTAATAAAGTAAACAAATAAATATTAAGCTTTTTTTTTTTTTTTTTTTTTTTTGTAAATTTTGATACCCTTTAGATCATAATTGTTCTTTATTTCAGAAATTACGGTTTAATATTTTTAATTTTATAATTTCTGCATGCCATCTAACCAGATTTAAACTGGTGATCTATAATCCAGAAAAATTGATAATCCGGAATCGCCGATAATCCGAAGTCCCGACGAGTCCGGATTAATGACTTTTGACTGTAGTAAACATATGCTAAAACTTTGCTTTCAAAAGAGACAAGAGTAAGGTAGTCCACAGAACATTCCACTTTCAGAAAGCTGTCCTCACTTGAAAAATGCTTGAGAAACATTGTTCTCCATGTCCAAATGATCTTCATGAAATATATTAAATAACATAGAAACTGTCATTTAAAACTGGATTTTAACACAAAAAATCAACCTACGCCTACATTTAACAGTAATTTTACATTACAGCAATTAAGCAGTCAAATATCACATGATTTTCTTCTTGTAGCAGTTTTAGCATTTTTCACACCATTTACTAACTTTTGGGAGATAGTTTAAAAAATGCAGCTTTTAATAGCATTGGCTTGAAAGCTTGTTCTTCATATTAATGTTATTCCATGTCCGTATACCATGATTCCTGCCAGGACAGTGTAGCTTGCTCAGCCACTTTTTATGGAACGGGGCCAAATTGAAATAATTTTTTTTCCACTTCTTTTCCTTACCAGTGAACAAAGCCAGAAATGTAAACAACAGAAGTATTCTTACTCTTTGCTTGAGGCACGTGTTAAAAGTCATGTGATTCACTTTACGACACCAAATGTCACTACTCGAATTTTTAGCACTCTGAAGAAGACCCAATTATGTGAACATCGTTTATACTGTAATGCATTTTATAGATGCCAAATTTCACACTTTGCCAATAATGTACACCAAGTCCCCCTTTTAAAAATCAATAAAATTAAAACTTTAAAATAAACTTGAATATAGCAAAGCATGAATTTTTTAAATGAATGTATTTCCAGCTAAAACAATCAGAGTTTGATTCTTTTTAATATTTTTTTCACTATTTCCAAGATTTTCAACTATTTCACCTATTCTCAATATATCATAACATGCTAAGTTTGAATTGACATTAAAGAAATATTATATGACACCACAGAATTCATTGATTCAATTTCATGTACTTCAAAGGGATAGCTTTGTATCAAGTCCAGATGTCCCAGCAACATATAATCAAGAAGTTTATATGAATGCACATGTTTTACATGCAAAAACATTAAGCAAATGTATGGTAAATAGTCCATAGGACAATTTTTTAAATTGAGAATAGGTATGAAAAGTTTCATTAATTCTTGAGTGAATAATAAGAAAATAACGCTGTAATAATACACACTTATTTTTCTGGTAAGATACATTCCATGTTAGTTATGTTTATGAATTAAACTTACATAATATCTTTTAATTAAAAATTAATTCCTAAAACTAGCAAATTTGAAATTAGTTTATTACATGTATACAGAAATTTTTAATTACAGTTTTGGAACTAAAAAGTCATGTTATTTAAACAGTCTTAGACTAATATCAGTTTTGTAGAAAAACTGAGCATTTTCAGATGACTTTTCCATTTTAAGGAACAAAAGTATTCTACGCCCTTTGTCTGGAAATATATCACTAAAAACAGATGAAATCAAAAGGAGGAGAGAAAAAGCAACACTTATAGCATCATCTACTAAACAAAATAAGAATGCAAAGAAAAAAAAAAAAAATTCCGAACAAGCGATATCTATCAAAATGCACAGTTTTTCTGCAAACCCAATGCTAATCTTAAGACTGGAATTTGCCTAATTTTAGATGGAATGCTTCTTTTTCATAAACCATTTTAACTTATTATACATTGAAAAATCTCACTTTGACTTATAGTAGATGATGATTTCCACAATTTTTTCATTTGCTCTTGATGGCAGTGGATTACCCAAGGATTAAACAATTTTCCATTTTGACCCTGTTCAATATTGCTTTCTTCTTTAGCTTTTTTTGCTTCAACACTCTCAATTTGAATATTCCCAGACTGGCATAAACGGATTCTGCACAAATATTATAAAACATTTCAACTAAACGTTAAACACAATATATTTTTTTCAAATTACTTAAATTCTTAATTATATATTAAAATGTTTAGTATTAACATTTCAAGCACTTTTTATTTTAAAAACAGTCCATAAATAATATTTTGCATTCATTTTAAGCATATTAAACTACTATAGCATTTGTATGACAATATAAAAAATACAAACACAATATATTTACACAAATATGGTATATTCTATACTTGATAAAATAACAAAAATATATTTACTTTATGAAATAATAAAATATATTGGCTTGATTATAAAAAGTCTCGCATAATACGATGACTGGGTATTTTAGATGATTTTTAAGACAGATTTTGCATATAATATAGTCTGATATATATAAGTTTAACGTATTGAAGATTTTCTATAGGAAAGATATTAGTCTGATTACCACACACAACAGCAAAATTAAATAAATATGTTTTATTTTAATGCAAAAGCTAGACAATGAATGATATGTTAATGTTAGGTTCTAATTTTAAGTCCTGCACTCTTTTTAAGTTTAATATGCTAAAAAGGTTTCTTTAAAAAAATACAGAGACAGAACAAAGTTGCATAATCAAATTTTACTAAGAAAATATTACAAAAATTCACTTTTATGCATCCAAGCAATTTCTGAATTTTGTTTCAATTGATAATAAGGCAGTAAATCCATACTTACATAAGCATATTATTGTAAATGGGATGAGCATATAAATATAATATTTTAATCCTTTTTCATTGTAGTTTTGCTCTTGTATATTGCTGTATTTTTTATATTCTTTTATTTATTTATTTATAGTTTTAGAATGGCAGTTTTATGGTATATTCTAATTTTTGACCACATCTTGCATTCAAGAGTTTATTTGCTGCAAATAATTATACACCTTTTGATTCTGAGTACAATGGCTTTGGAATTTAAAAAAAATCTCAATTAGAAGACGAGATGTAAACAATTCAGTTCCTACACCTACTTCCTAAAAGTCACCTGTGACATTTGGAAAAATCTCACTTTACTCAGCAACTTTCTGGAAGTTTCATGAAAACACATTTGCGAAACCCTACATTCCATTCTTCCAAAGTTTCCAAAAACCATGCCACAAAATATAAATATGAGTCAGAGAACTAGGGAGTTCAGTTGTGAATGAGCTATGAGACATGGTAAGCTGAACTAAAAGTCAGGTGATTTGGCAAGACTGATTTGATGAATTTGATGAGTGAGAGTGATTTGACAAACTGATTTATTTCATGTGCTAAGGAGGAAATGGTAAATATCCACATTCTCATATTAATGTAGATGTCAAACAACAAAAATCAGCGTTATATTTCCAAATTTTCACAGGACTAGTTTTGATGGTTTTACCGAATCATCAAACTCAGCTGCAAAAACGCAAATGAATGAGATAAGATATAATGATAAGATAAGAAAGCCTGGACAGGAGACAAGCTACTGGCACCATCTGTTGATGAAACCAGAACTAAAACATAATTTTTTTTAAAGGCTTAAGGCAAAGATGGATTGGAATTAGGGTCGTTAACTAGAACAGAAAGATTTCTTTGAAATGCCTCTAGTAAATGTGAAATGCCTCTAGAAAATCCAGTTCACCAATGGAAGATGTTTTTTGAATAATTTTGGCAGCAGAAAAATCAAAAGTGTGATTTTCGGACTAACAATGCTGGGCAACAGAAGACTTCTGTGTTTCCTTTTTTCTAACATATGCCTTATGTTCCTTAACGCGAAATTTTAAGGCTCTCTTAGTTTGGTCAATGTAAATTAAACCAAACTGGCAAGGAATCCTGTAAATACCCCAAGAATTCATATCCGAAATGGAGTCCTTGCATATGGAACTTGGAATTTTATTGAAGGAGAATAAACAAGCCGAAAGTTAAATTTCTGCAAAATACGTGCAACTTTATAGGTGATTGATGGAAAGAGGGGAATGACAAGAGAATTTTTACAATCTCCTAAAACAAGAGTGTGCCTTTTGGTGTGTTGAGATGGGAATTTCTTAACTGCTTGATTAATAATGTTGGGTGAAAAGCCCCTGTCAATAGCTACTGCTTTTAAATAATTCAGTTCTTCATCAAGGGACAGTTTGGAGGAGCAAACTTGAAGAGCACGGAAAACATAGGAATAAAATGAATCTAACTTTCGTTTAATCGGATGACATGATTTGAAGTGTGGTGGTAGGCAAACCGATGAAGGTTTACGGTAAACCATAGTACTGAAGTTGGATGTGTTACGTGTGACCAGAATGTCGAGAAACGGAAGGGAATTGCAAGTCTCAAGTTCAAAAGTAAACTGAATAGCAGGATCAATGGAATTCATTGTTAAAGAACTTTATTTAAATCATCTTTATTAACCTTCAAACAGGGTAAAATTATCGTCTACGTAGCGGAACCATGCCAGGAAGTTTAAAGTTTCAAACAATTTTGATTCAAAATAATGCATGTAGATATCAGCCAGGATGGGACTCAGGGTGCTTCTCATGGCTAATCCCTCAGTTTGCTTGTAATATTTATTTTGGAAAACAAAATGCATTTATTTCAAACAAAGTTGAGTAAGAGAAATAAGCTCATCAAGAGAAATGAAATTCGAAAGTCTGGTTTCTAGACATCTTAATGCACCCTCCACTAGAACATTGGTGAATAATGATTTTACATCAAAAGAAACCATGAGTAAATTTCTAGGAGAAATATGTTAACCTTTTTTACTAATTCTATTGAACTTTTTATGGTCTAATAAAATTGAAAATTTAGAATTTAAATATTTAGCTAACAGATATGAGACAGTACCTAAATTTGATACAAAAATGTTCTTTCCATTGTTTCCATTGATCCTGCTATTCAGTTCACTTTTGAACTTGAGATTTGCAATTCTCTTCCGTTTCTCGACATTCTGGTCACACATAACGCACCCAACATCAGTACTATGGTTTACCGTAAACCTTCATCGGTTTGCCTTCCACCACACTTCAAATCCTGTCATCCGACTAAACAAAAGTTACCTTTATTTTATTCCTATGTTTTCCGTGCTCTTCAAGTTTGCTCCTCCAAACTATCCCTTGATGAAGAACTAAATTATTTAAAAGCAATAGCTATTGACAGGGGCTTTTCACCCAACATTATTAATCAAGCAGTTAAAAAATTTTCATCTCAACACACCAAAAGGCTAACTCTTGTTTTAAGAGATTATAAAAATTCTGCTGTCATTCCTTTCTTTCCATCAATTAGCTATAAAGTTGCACGTATTTTTCAGAAATTTAACTTTGATATGATACTTATTCCTCCTTGTGTAAAAGATACAAACACAAGAAAATAATCACCATTATAAAGATCATTCCCAATACTAAATGTACAAAAGGGCAAAAGAGATAGTGAACAGATGGCAAGATCAAGGACTACCAAAAACATAAAATATTCTTGTAGGTTCATGGACATAGGTATCCTTTCCCCTACTCAACAGCCAAAGGGCAATGACCTTCAGTCATCTGCTCAATAGGTCTGAAGTCTTTTAATGTCAGTGAGATTCTAGTGGAAGCCACGACAACTCCATGAAACAAGAGTGGTCAATATGTTCGATGTTTGTTTTTCCTATGCTGGTTTCTGCTTTATGAGGAAGTTGGTGCCTCAGGATGTCCAGTTTTTTGTACACATCATATCATCATCAAAGCTCAGATTTTCAGAACTAATATTTCCAAAGGAGGACTTGGATTTCTGGTAAGTCAGGAGTTTTTTTTTTTCTTTCGTGTTTTCAGTCTGATTATTTTTCTTCTCTTTACCAATAAGTATTTTTGATACAGATGCTACTAATTTCTGCACTTCATTTCCTTGTAAATTTTGAGCTGGCTGTTATATATATATATATATATTGTTTGCATTGTTTTGTACTGTTTTGTATGCTTATAGATTTTACTGCACTGGAACAATAAGCTTTTGCACAGATGGAAATCTGTTACTAATTTTGTTTCCTCTGCCAAAAAAAGCGGGGGAGGATTTGGCCTCTGCCCAAAAAAAAAAAAAAAAGGGTCTTTTTATCACCTGCATGTATCTCCTTTTCAGACTCCATTTTGGCACAGCTGAGAGAATGCTACATGTTCTCTTTTGTAATTAACGCACAGTGGACTGGCATTGCAAATAAAGCCATCATGGCCTTTCATAGAGCAATGCATTCATCAGTTTACCACAAGATATTTTGAAGTGATAAAAATGCTGCCACTGAAAGCATTGTGAAATTTTTGGTATGTAATATCTTATGGGGGCAGCGCAAGTACCTGGCTTTAATACTTTTTGCCAGATTAGGTCAGATGAAGGTCAGGATCACTTGCTTCATATTTATAAAGTGACTTTCTTAATGTAACATGATACACCTAGCAGCACAAACATTCTGGTCGGACAAATCAGAGACAATTTCCTTTTCTGCTATAAAGAGGAAGTCCCTCTCTGAAATTACGCCTTGACAATGATTTTAAGTTTTGTGCTCTGAAACAATTATGTCAATTAGCCCAAGCTTTTTAATACAAGGACTATAACGGATTGAGAACAAAAAGAGGTTTAGACAAAATGACTATATATTGCAGCTGTCTGATAGTTTTGTGTTCACAAACATAGAACTGTATATACTTCTGAATGAGAATAGGTGACTTTTTGCAGACCACCTATTCAGTTGTTAATAACCAGAAATCAAGGCCTCTTTTAATCTTTGTTTGTATTTACATTTATCTTGACTTTTTCAGATGGAACAATATCAGTAGAAGTTATGTTAGTTAAAGAGGCCATAATTTAATATTAAGAAAAATCTGAACCTGTTGATCCCAGCCACCACTGATTCCAACACGGAGATGCAAATTTCTGCACTACAGCTAACTGGATCTATACAGTCTGAAGCCCCACAGGCAGCTTTTTTGAAAGCAGGAACTCCGAAAGCTTATCTCCAAGCCACAATTTATAAAACACAATTTATAAAAAAAGGGTAAAAAGAAATGAGGAAAGATCACTGGGCTCCAGAATTGAGACTATTTCATAAAGAGGGTGATTCCTTACAGTACCTTGGCACTGCCACACTCATATTTAGAAAGAGTGAACTCAGCTTTTTTTATTGAAATTTATTTATTTATCTAATTTATCTAACACAAGAACTAGTGAACAGATGATTTTGACTAGTGGAGACAGCTAAGTGCCTCCCATTCCATTCTAAAGAGGCCAAAGCAGTATTTTGAGGACAGTACCTCAACCAGTATGACCCTTGCTTTCAGACTATGGCAAATGCTTTACTATGGCAAATGCTTAGGCAGTTTTCTCTCCATGAGAAATTAGAAAAAAGGGATGTAACAGAATTTCACTTTGTGCCCCACCATCTGAAAAGGAAAACCACAAAGAAGAAAAAACTGGAAACACAATTTATAAAAAAAGGGTAAAAAGAAATGAGGAAAGATCACTGGGCTCCAGAATTGAGACTATTTCATAAAGAGGGTGATTCCTTACAGTACCTTGGCACTGCCACACTCATATTTAGAAAGAGTGAACTCAGCTTTTTTTATTGAAATTTATTTATTTATCTAATTAAAGAAGATAGAACTAAAAATAAAGTAAATAATATTCAAATATATATTGTGCCTATGGACCTTGATAATGAAAATATAACAATTGCTAGAGTTTAGATTAAATACAAGAATTAAAAGTTCTGATATTGGACAAAATTTTCAGTTTTCCTCCCTATATGTCTTCTGCTGGTCTATTCCACTCATTGACTATATTTACGGAAAAGGTTTACTGTTCTGACAAATAGCATAGAGTATTTGTTAATATAAAAACATTGTGGAATAAAAACAGAAAAAGACATAATAGCAATGCTGTTTGGTGTAGAACATAGATCCATATTGAAGAGGAAGAATTCTGATTGTGTAGAATACCGAAATGCTGATCTACAATGAATAAGAAACTTGGCAATCGAGGTAGATTAAATCTTCATTTTTATTTCAACTGACATGTAGCTACAATTTGTTTGGCACTCTAATCATGCCTATTCAAGAACACATTTTTTGATACTATTGCAATAGGAAGAAAAGCATAGCGAAACAGCTTCCAAGCAGCACAGAAGATAAAAGCAAAGTATGCATTTATCCAATATGGAAGATCACCAAGAGGAAGGTTTTGGTTTAGGTTAGAAAGCTTTTAGTTTTCAAAGTTTAGGTTCCCAACTAACTATGGCATCAGCCTTACACAAGCTCTGGCACAGATTTATCTAGAAATGATGCAGTCCAGAAATGTTATTATTTTTAGAATAGAGAGACGAAATACTCAAATTAAAAAAAAAGGAATTAAAAGACTATTACTGAATGAAATTATAAAGCTGATTTAGATATTTTCTATATTACATGTATATGTATGTGTGTGTATGAAGGGTGCGAAAAAAAGATATTTGAGCCTTTCAAAACTAATTAAAATCAAAAAGGTAATTTTGATTTAAGACTGCTTAAAATAATTACTAAAATATTAAATATGAATGAAAAATTACAGCCGTTGAGAACAAAATTCTACCTATAAAGGATTATTAATGTCTCTTTTTAAATGTAATACCATTTCCTGACTACAGTGATACATATTCAATGGAACATTTATTAAAGACATCAGTAGAAGGAAATTAGGCTGGCACTTTACATACAGTACAAAGTCCGTAATCCGGACTTGTCGGGACTTTGGCGATTCCGGATTAGGGGTTTTTCTGGATTACAGATCATCAATTTAAATCTGGTAAGATGGCATGCAGAAATTATACAATTAAAAATATGAAACCCTAATTTATGAAATAGAGCAATTATGATCTAAAGGGTATCAAAATTTACAAAGAAAAAAGCTTAATATTTATTTGTTTACTTTAGTAAACATTTCTTTCAATGTAAGTTGTTTAAGTTGCTTCATTTTTTGTGCTAATACTTTCTCTTTAATTCTATAAACAGATAAAGTTCCACTGTTCAAGTCCTATAATTGCTATGTCGAGAATTCCGACTAACTTGTCAATCAAGATTTTTTCATTTTCAATAAAGTTCTCTGTTACTTTCTTCACTATCGGAAGCGTGCATGGGTAAACGCTTTACTGGCTTTACGCGCAAGCGTAGCGGACACGCGCATCAAATACATGCGTGTTTGATGCTTGCGTAAGTTTGTGGCTTTGAGGTCCAGATTATATATACATCATTCCGGATAATGGATGTTCGGATTACAGACTTTGTACTGTATTTCATTATTGCTTTCAGTTGCTGCAATATAAATATAAAAATTAAAAAAAACTATAAAAATATTAAAGCACCCACTCATACCTATGTTTAGTTTTATGCTCATTTTCTGCAAGTGAATTGTGACGAGAGCCTTGTCTTTTGGGTGAAGTTTTGTATGTAGATGGCATATAAGCCACTAAATCTAAATAACCATCCACAGCTTCTGAAAATGTAACCTCTATCACACCTAAATATAAATTAATAAGATAAAGCATGTAAGTGGAACAACATGTTCTAAATTAAAAACTACAGACTCTTAAAGAATTTGCTATAGATGTTAGAGATACAAAACAATGAGCCTTATCTGAAAATATGGTACTTTTTGATTATCCACACTTTGACTGAAATGTAGACAGTTACATGGCAACCCATAATGTCACCAAAAGATATTTGTGCAAGAACCTAGCAAGAGCATAGCACATCTGTTTCTGCTGATGCTCAATGCCAAGTTTGTGCAATTCTGTGAATTTTTATAAAAAAATTTAAACTAATTGCTATGTACATGGGAAGAATAACAGGGATTGGGGAACCTAAAAAGGTAAATGTTTTATTACAAATGTTACTTGCTTTTTTATTTTGCTTCATTTAATTTATTTTTTCTTGTTTTACTGAATGATTGCTCTAGATGGAATTCTAAATGCATTACAATTTTGAAAATAACTTTAATAAAAAAATTAATGACCAAATTTTTGGTGGGATTATGGATAATCGGAAAGTACTGAGAGCATTAATATAAAAATACATTTAATACTAAATTCCTAATATCAACTAAATATGCTCTTGCTTCATTACCTATAAAATGTACATATTTTATATTACTATATTACACTAAGTTTGTTTGCACCGAGAAAATTTAATAGAGAATGCATGATTTATCTTTCCATAAAATCACGGATAGTAAATACAGATAGTATGACTTTTAATGTCCTTAATGCACAACTTGATTCAAGTGAACTGAGGTAGCTCTATTACATCACATACAATCGACGAAGACTGATAATTCTGTTTTGTTCTAAAACTTCACACAAACACTTAAATGGATTATAGTCACAAAGTGGCCAAGGTTTGTTGTTATCTTGTCCATGAATTTCATGGAAGAATGGTTGCCAGAGCCTCAAGGTGGTTGGACTTCTACTTCTACACCAGAGTGCCCCAGTCCAAGGGTCTCCCACCTCTCTCTCCTTCCACCCCACCATACAAGAGGACTTTTGGCTCGCATTACATTTAGAGTGCCCCCATGCCGTGAAGGCACTGTACATTTACAAACATCCATGCCTTCTATGGGATTCGAACCTGGGCCCTTCAGTATCACAGAAGGCTACCCTAAACACTATACCGTCTGGGCGGCAGTGGCCAAGGTGTAATGCGACAAAACTGTTGATCTGTTCTTCCAACTACTTAGTAATTAAACAAATTGCATGAAAAAGTGTATTGCTTTGTTGAAAGACAGCAGCAATGTGTATTCATTCATATCCTGCAGGTATACATATTATCAGTTAACAAGTCCCTCATGAAGTTACTGCTGAGTGTTTGAAGGGCAATAACTAATGCACCTGAATGTGTCAGAAAAATGCTTCCTAGACTATAGCATCTAACCTACTGAATTCCAACACTGCAATCAATGGATACAACTTTATAATTGTTTACAACATACACAAAATTAATAATTTGTATGATACCAAAGGAAATAAAATTTATCATCTCAGTGAACCTTCTTTCCCCTTTCTGATGATCCATGTTTCATGTGGGTCAGAGTTACTTGGCTCAAATTTAACAGACAACCACAGTGGCTGTTTCTGAAATGCTGGCCACTGCCCTCCAAGGTCCTACTATCTGGTCATGGTAAAATTAGCTGAAGTTAGAACATTTCTCCACCATTAGAAAACAAGTATCAAATTAAAGAACAGAAAAGTAGTGGACCACATAAATAGTAACCTTCGGGTGAGAATGATACGTGATCCTTAATTATTGCTCTTTCAATACACAGAGCACAATATCAGCAGATAGAATAAATAACATTATTTTAATTCTTTAGCTCAGAATTGTATTAAATATGCTTAAAATAATGACAAATTTCAAGACATTACCAAAGGTGATGAATGCACAAAATTAGTACCTCATTTAAAAACCAACATCTAGTAAATGTACCTTTCTTGAAAAATGTAAATAATTCGCCTTAATGGTTATTGTAAATTTTAACAGAATTACTTAGATAAGAAATAACATCATGTGAATTAATATTCTATGAGAATTCTATGAAACATAATTTTGTCATAGTAAATATACTGGCAACACATATAATAATGCTGTAAATTATTTTCATTTACATATCATAATCTCATATTTGTGGCATGGCCCATTTTGAATTTAAAAATGGTGTCAATAAAACTATAATACATACCATTAATTTTGATAATAAGCATCAATATCAAGCCATCAAGATAGCTTTTTAGAACTGCACAGACATGTTTCTAATAACATGATTTATAATAGAAGAATATGTTCTCCTGCCACAGGAGAAACTACTGTGCTTCTGGAGAACTTGATTAGTGTACATGTAAGAGATAGTTACACAATTTCTTTAAATAATAATGAAATAATATTTCTACTCTTCAGATACTTCAAAGATTATGCACAAATTTTTTACAAACCTCTGTATTCAGCTAAGAATTCTTTTAATTTATCAGGTGCAGTTTTATAAAAATTTAGTTCTTGTGGAATCAAAGGTTTGCAAATGGTATCCTCATCCAACTGAAGCATAGAAGAATGACCACCAACCTGAAAATTAAAAAGGCATCTTTCATTAAACAGATATATTGTGAAGGAAAAAAATATGGCCAAGAATAGAAGTCATATTAATGTCCACATGCACAAAATATATTTCATAAATGATTAACATGGTAACTGCCTTCATATTTTTATCACAAAATAAAGAACTGTTCTGTTATCAGGACTGGAATCAGAAATGTATGAATGCATTTGCGTGTGTATGAATGTATGTACATAGATGTGTAGAAACTTCATTTTTTACTACCTGGATTGCCTTGTAACCATGGGAATGACAGCTATAGCAGATGGTTCCAGTCACCCAATTTTTTGTCTTCACTACATTTCAGTTTATTTGCTTAACAAAGAGCATGCGAATGAAAGCTGACTTAGACCTCCACACACATATATTCGTACTTACATAAATACATACTTTTTTGGATTTGATCTTGATAACAGAACAGTACCCAAAATAATTTACATTAAAAGCCTTATATGTTTTGGAGTACGAAGCAATTAAAGATCCCACACTAAAAAAATCTACAAGCTTTAGAATGGAAGTAAATTTACCATACGATGCTTTATTCTCAATACAAGTAAAAAATGCAGATTATATATTAAGTATAGAATTACTTTTTAATTTTAAGTGTTAGTTTTAATCGAATATTTATTAAGGCAGGAATTGTAGTTTCAATGTATAAGTACACTCAGATAATAGAAAAAATTCATTATCATATATTAATTTTTTTGGAAAAATGCAAATAACTAGCAGTAAAATTTTAAGGCAATTACAAAGACCGCTAACTAATAGCTCCCAAAAAAGCTATTAATTATTTGCTAAATATTTAAATTTTGATTAAAATCCAACTTGCAATATGTAAATCATTGCTAAATTACATCAACAAATAAGTTATAATACAACACAAATAAGTTAAAAACAATGCAATAAGTTACACACTACAATACAATTTATAATACGAATAAGTTAAAAGAAATACTAGAAAAGAATAAGTTAAAAGATACAAACTAGAAAAATATTTCACTATTTATTAAATTAAATATTAATGGCATTTAATTCATAATTTCTCATAATAGAAATTTTTACATCAACATAATTAATGCTGTAAATTATTATATGTTACATGCTAATGTTGTCATATATATATATATATATATATATGTGATGTACCAGCTTTAGTCGTAGCTTAAATTATCAGATGATAAGTTTTTTAAAAAAAACAGGATCCATTTATTATTATTCAGGAGAAATAGCAATTACAAAATCAGATATCCGGAGTAAATAAAAAGAATTACTAATAACTTTTTGTATGAAGTTTACTGAATCGTGACATTTAAGAAAAAGCCCCGATATTCCTTTTGCGAGTCCTTTTATAGCCTCTGGAAAGGTGGAACTTCCAAGAAATGACGTCAGCCTCAATAGCCAATCCAGTTCGCTTTAAATATATTATCAGAACATTCTAAAACTGTACGTGTAGAAAAAGGCGGGAAAACAACTTGACTACAGGGCTGTGGATTTAATTCCACATACTTTCAAATAAGAGAACGTCGCCAATAAAAAATGAAAAGAACATACAATTAAATTTTAAGTGTTTCTTGACTATGGAATTTTATCATTACATATACAGTCAAAAGTCGTTAATTCGGACACCCATAATCCGGACCTCAAATCTACAAACTTTCTGCGCATGCGTCAAGGCTGCGAATATGCGTGTGCGCATGCGCATAATACGTTTACGCAAGCGCGTTTAATGTATAACGGACGGTATAAGCTAAGCTGAAATTATCTAATTCAGGTAATGTTGCAGATTGCGTTGTTCCTTAATCTTCGAATTGGATCCGGCTTATTATTTTTTGCAGACTGTTACAGCAATTTTATAAAAGTAAGCTTGAACTTTCGATTATGTCAAATAGAATTTCCGATATATACAGTCAAAAGTCGTTAATCCGGACTCGTCGGGACTTCGGCGATTCCGGATTATCGATTTTTCCGGATTATAGATCATCAGTTTAAATCTGGTAAGATGGCATGCAGAAATTACAAAATTAAAAATATGAAACCATAATTTATGAAATAAAGAAAAATTATGATCTAAAGGGTATCAAAATTTACAAAAAGAAAAAGCTTAATATTTATTTGTTTACTTTATTAAACATTTCTTTCAATGTAAGTTGCTTTGTTTCATGTGATAATACTTTCTCTTTAATTCTACTAACAGACATAATTTCTTGTTTAGTTACAAAGTTCCGCTGTTCAAGTCCTATAATTGCTGTGTTGAGAATACCGACTAATTTGTCAATCGAAATGTTTTCGTTTTCAATAACCTCTGGGTCACTTTCTTCACTATCGGAAGCGAATTATAACGACGAGGAACTTGATTTAAATCATATCAAAGACGGAGTATATCGAGATGAAATACTACACTTAGTACGGAATTATAAACCAAATAAAATAAAAACTTCCAATCCGCAGCGTGAAATTGATAAACAGATTTCGGATTTCAAAACATACTTTCGCTTTGTAGATACAAATTACATATTAGTAAATATATATCGGAAATTCTATTTGACATATAATGGATGACATATAATAAAAAAATGGATAAAGGCATATCCTTTGATTATCTAATCATTCCGAAATATGTTTATCAATTTCACGCTGCTCTGCGGGGGAAGGGAAACAACACGGCGCGCAATGAATTAGAAGTTGATCTGTCAGCACTATCCTTATCTTCAGGGCAGATGTTTTTATTTTATTTGTCTTATAATTCCTTACTAAATGTAGTATTTTATCTCGATGTACTCCGTCTTTGATATGATTTAAATCAATTTCCTCCTCATTATAATTCGCTTCCGATAGTGAAGAAAGTGACACAGAGGTTATTGAAAACGAAAAAATTTCGATTGACAAATTAGTCGGTATTCTCGACACAGCAATTATAGGACTTGAACAGCGGAACTTTGTAACTAAACAAGAAATTATGTCTGTTAGTAGAATTAAAGAGAAAGTATTATCACATAAAACAAAGCAACTTAAACAACTTACATTGAAAGAAATGTTTAATAAAAAAAAAAACAAATAATAAATATTAAGCTTTTTTTTTTTTTTTTTTTTTTTTTTTAAATTTTGATATCCTTTAGATCATAATTGTTCTTTATTTCATAAATTACGGTTTCATATTTTTAATTTTATAACTTCTGCATGCCATCTTACCAGATTTAAACTGATGATCTATAATCTGGAAAAATCGATAATCCGGAATCGCCGAAGTCCCGACGAGTCCGGATTAAAGACTTTTGACTGTATATATTATAAACTTCTAAGTTGCCCCCCTTTTTTAATACTTTATTTAATTTTTAGGATGCATTGTAGAGTCATTATATTTATTTTGGAAGCAGGAGAGATGGAAAATTAGCAACGCCTTCGCTGGGAATTGAACCGCAGACCTCCGGAATACGCACCCAGCATGCAGACCACCACACCACAAAGGCATGCCAAGGCAGGAGAAATATCTTATAGCATTAGTATAATTTAATCTGTTATTCCTCTGATTTTCACTATATTTGTTTATATTTTATTTATTTACAGTTTATTTAGATTTGATTCAAAAGCTATGAAATAAATAATTTACAAATAAATAAATTAATAATTATATTGATTTACAGATGTTTTGTCATTTTTACAGTTTAATTTTTAATTATTTATCATTTTATTTATCTAATTTTGCTCTTTCTTATTACCTTGTGTAGGATTCCAATACTTCTAATTATAGAAATTAAGTCTTGAGTAAATAAAAAAGCATAATGATGTATAGTGAGTGTTGGCAAACTTTAGTCACTCTTAAAAATAAGTTCTTATCAGATGGAGACAAATCTCTATGAAACCATGAAAAGGAAGTTGCTATCATTTTAATGACACGGTATCTAAAGATGGAATCCATTACACCTAACAGTATAAGAGGAGTGGTCAAACTTCAAGGTTTGGTTTAGTTGATTATGGCAAAGCACACTAGGGCTATCTAAGGGAACTGATGCCATATATATATTATAAACTTTTTCTAAGGAAAACTGGCTCGTATACATGCAGCCCATCCATGCCCATGCAGCTAACTCGTTTGGTACGGATGGGGGAATCAAACCCAGCTCAGAACTACCAGTGTCCAGCGATTTTACCGCTTGGCTGCTGGTGGTTTGCCAAACTTCATGATAGTAGGAGTCATGTTAGAATTTAAAAATTTAAGATCCCAAACTAGATTTTTCAAAATCTACAAGTCTATAATAGATAATGAAACAGGATCAGATTGAATGGAAAGAAATAGTTATGTAAGATGTAAAATCAGTTACTTACTTCTTTGGAAAGAAGTAAGTAACTGAGAATTTCACATTTTTAATGTATTTATATAAAAATATAAACAAATCATTCCTGCTTCTTCTGCTCCATATTGAATGAATAAATTGATGGTTTTTGTTGAAGATTAATTTACCTTCTAATAATATTTGGCAACATTGATGTTATTTATTTAAAAGATAGAGTTCCTTCATCTGGCATCTTCAGATTTAGTTAACAATCTCTGGATTTAAAAAGTTATTAAAAGCTGTTGGATATTCACTAAAAAGAGCAAAAAGAATAATTATAAACAACTTAAAAAGCATGATTAGTAGTGACTAGATTTAACTACAGAAAATTATGGTAGAATACATCGTCTCGACGAATTCAGTCCAGCAACGAGTCTTGCAACAGCAGTTTACAAAATAATTTTTTTTTAATGTAAAAACTGCATATTCAGATGAACACTTAAATAAATCAACGTACTAACAGGTTATCCCATTGACCATGAAACCGTTGCCAAGCAGCATGATTTAGCACCAATTATGCATAACACAACGCATTCATACCATCTTACTTTCATTTCATCTAATCTTGCTTCATTCTTGATAAGTTATGTTTTGTTTTTATGAATAAAGATATAAATTAACTGTTGTTATTGCACTTT